GTATATATATATATATTAAAATATAACTATATTAAATAATGTGTACATCTCGACATGTGCGTAACAAAGAACAACCTTCAACACAAATTTATAGCAAGTAGTAGAACATATTAAACACCTGACTCAAATAGATCACAACGTTTCAGCGCAAAATTTCGAATTCTGTAGGGAAACACTCTTTCGAGGGACGTATCGATCAAGCGGCCTAATCTCGCAATTGCGAGCATCCTTCAGTAAAATGAGATACACTTTCTTGTTGAGCATAGACTATATGTGCACGACTGTCGGTGCATAAAACAGACAACAACGGATAACTTGTTACATATATTTTTGGACATATCGACATGAAAAATAACACCCTTATCGTGCTCTCGCAAAAGCCCTCTAATAAATTATACACTCTACAGTCCACTACTCTCTATTAGAGGGAGAAGAAATTAAATACGTAAAATGTATGCCTGATCGGACTTTTCACGGCCGTGAAAATTGATGACATAGTCAATTGTAATATTCGGAATCTGTAACAAATTGCGCGCAGAGGATTGTATAATGGATTTCAAGTGGATCTACATATCTGACGAGGAAGACGCTCAGTGCCCACGACTCTGACAATCATACATTCTACTAGTAACTGGTATTCTTTAAAAGTCATTGCTATATGATCGTAGTGTGAGAGTCGCTCAGTATAAAAAGCACAACCAAATACACAAGACATGTGGAACTCTATAGATCCCAGGGCTTGTCTTCCCACTCCAGAAATGCTTGCGGCAGAGGACGTTCTAGCATACAGCGACCATATCCGACTTAATTCTCCCTCAAGTAAATGATGCTTAATGATATGTTCAGTTCTTGGTCGTTTATAAGGGTTGTAGCATACATCGATCACGCGCGGCTACGGTTTCTCTCAAGTATGTGGTGTAGGGTTGTATGTGTATCCTTCCGTAAAGTGTAAATGACGGCATACCGTACAGCGATCATACTCGGCTCGAGGCTTCCTCTAGACAGTGATCCCTGTTAGTATGTACACGCCTTTTGTGTAAATGACAGCCGGAGCAAACGGCGATTACATGCGGCTTGAGTCTACCCTACGTAAAACAATTGAAAACGATACAAACTCACTAATGACTTTGATAATTAGTGGTGTAGTATATCGAATGCACAGTGAATCATCACACATGGATCGCAGCGTGGTAATTCCTTCAATCAGTAAAATTCATAATGAGCTTAACTCGAGTCAATGATATACAAATACTGTAATCAAAATTTTCTCAGCGTACATTAGTTTCCGAGGCTGAATGGACGATGTTGACCAGTCTGTAGTATCGACTTAATCTACCTTGTGTTCGCTTATCGAAGCATTGCTTTATTGATATGGTGTATACATGATAAGCTCGTACCAGCTCAATTAAAGCAAGTCCTTTGTGTTTTGCATGGTGTTGTATATCGAGACTTCATTTGCGGTTTAGACTAAACACGAGTCGCTGCCATCCTTATACTGCGAACATAGAATTCGGTGTGGGTTTGTACTCCGTAAAAGAGTTAGTATCGAAAAACTGAGGCACGATCAGTGTATTGGGATCGAAAGTGGAAGTAGAAAAGAAGCCAATGCCCTTGTTCTACGTTTCACCCAAGGTTGCCAAAGACTGCTCAAAGCGGTGTCCCCCGATGCAATGTAAGCTGACATGATACTTTGCATAGAAATAATTTTGCCACTCAGGAAATGGTCCGCCATAGGTCTGCTGTCTAGCATAGCATCGATAATGTATAGTGCGCTGCAATAAGTTCGACTATCATTCGTTATTGTCGAGATCGCGCATAGTTTGTTCCTTCTGCTGTTCGTGTTTCTAGTTTCTCAGTCTACATAATTATCTCATTTGCGTGGCACTTACATGAAAACTGTTGTAGCTGGTTTCTATGTGTGCTGAAGCCGGAAAGTGTTTCGAGGTCCGCATATCTCCCTTCACTACCAATGCCTATGAGTTGACTGCTCCGAATCATGATCGAGTTCTTGTTCATGTGTATGTTGACGGTGTCCAAAATGGGGGTGGCAGTTTCGCCCGTAACACGAAAGGTACGTTCGTGCAGTGATGATTAGTTGTAGATATTCTCTAGACATCTCGTTTTGATAATCAGGATAAGTGTGGTGTGGGAGTTTATGAGCGGAAATGTATATCAGCCTACGCTACTACGGCGGACAGGCTCAGCTCGTAATCTAATCACTGCATCCGTTGCATCTCAGTTATATGCCCATAAATGCTTTTGCAGTAAGCCTTTCTGGATGATATTGTGGTTTGAAGTGCTAAAAACAGCGTCTTTTTGTAGTTTATACAAATACAGAATTGATAGAGAAGGGGATCGCCAAAGAATATATCACAAACAATATTGTCATGAACATGTTCACCTTTTTCAACGTTCCGGTTGAGGTAAGCTATATATAGCCCTCGCATGTGGACCGCGTAGCTTCGATGTTTATGGCAGACTTGATATATGGTTAAAATTGATTACATTAGCAAGTGTTTTCGCATGTTTCGATGGCTTGAAAGATATACAACCTTTAATTTGATCGCGCCTAGCGAATCGGGTTATCTCGTCCAAGACTTGCGATTTTTCTGTTTCGACTTGACTTACACGAAGATTTTCACGTATAAATACATGTACAGAAAAACCTGTTACATGGTCAGGTTGTACTCGTCAATTCTACGTTTTTGAACGCACGTATATATACATAATGATACTGATGAAGTGTGTACCTAGTTCAAGTTTGCCGAACATAGGCTCACTTAGCGGTATTTAAATCATAGTGGGCTTGGGTACTAAGAAGATTTGCGAAGAAATATCGCTGGATGTAGAGACAAACGTGTTGCGGATCTCAATACTTTTTGTCCTTTGTATATCTCAGGAAGCTGCTGGAGCAAATGCGATCGCTAGCATGCCTTCCTCGGAAAATATTGGTACAATTACAACCACATTTACGGGTTTCATCAAAGGTGGACTACGATCTAGAAGTGCCTTTAGAGGGATAAGGAACAATGTGCATGAGAAGCCAAAAATCACTGAGAAAGAGAAGATCAAGAAGGGTGCGAGTATTGGCGTATGTGGTGGTAAGGAAGTCACAAGGCGATCTCGATCCACAACATACCATTTTCCAGAAAAGTTGAAACAGGAGATGCCACAAAAATCGATCAAAATATACATTAGGGAGAAGTTTTGGTTACAGAGTCGAAGAATCATGGATGGGGATGGTTTGCCGATGACTGCGGCAGTGGCGAAAAAAGGCGTGGGTGCGACACAATCCAAGAGTGGGGTGAATAATAACCCGATGATCGATGTGGACGCGATGAATGCGCAATTTAAGATCAAGAGAGAAGCAATTGGCAGTCAGAAAAGGAAGATGAGGGCCATAAATCTCGACGAACCTACCGGATTGGAAACTTGCAAGAAAAAGCCAAAGGGTGAGGTGATAGTGCTAGGATAAACCATCCACTGAGCCACAAACAACTTTGCGATTACCATGCTGGTGTGTCACCTAATCACTCAGACGACTTCGTTTACGAGAGGTGAACTGTGCCGTTGGAGCGTATTTATGAGTTACTAGGAGTATATCCAGCAACAAGGGCACTAGCTGGGTGTTCCGTGCTGTCTCACTATATAGGGGAAAGCGAGCTCCGCTGTTAATGGTCATCACGCACCGAGTTTATGGACAATTTCAATGTATGATACCTCGAGTGCAGTGTTATTTCTCGAATACACTTGCATTAGACAACGGGTGGTATCGCAGTATACATTGACGGGCATATAACCTGAATCAAGAAATATATATATATATATATATACGTGCTACCAGAGGACATAAATAACGCATATAACTCGGCCTAGATGAACTATTTATTCTCCCATTGTCACCTAAGGTACGCTTTAGATCGAATCATTGCAACAATATGGTGAAAAAAAGCAGTAAATTTCACACGCTACCGCCGTCAACAGTGCGGCGATTGGATTAAATGATCGCCACTCTACCACTCTTTCGATACTTCCGTTTCGTCGCTACTGGTTTATACCGTATTTCACTTTTTTGACTGCACTAGACTTTCTTCCTGATACCAAATGCCCTTTGGACTTTAAAAATAATGGAAGAAATACGCTGAGCAGCAGATATTGACTGGCAAGTGCGAGTGCACACAAACAGTATGTACGAGCACAGACTGATGTGGAGGCACTATAAGATGCGTTGTACATCTAGATCTAGTACAGTGGTAGCGTTCAAGCAAATCGCCAGTGGTCGAGATCAACAAGAATCTAAGCTGTGCACAGGCTCGTTCAATTTTCTATTGAAAGAATTGAACCCCACTTGGCACTATGTCGAAGATTGACTGAGTCTATAACACTCAGTACACCTCTTACTCGACTTTTTTAGCCTTCAGTTTCTCATCAACTACAACCTTTTTGTGGACGCCGCCCTCCAAGAATATCAACGCACACAAAAGTGCACTTGTGACAACGACGACGGAATAGAACGTTGGGTCGGCCAGGTCGCCGCCATACCGCTTGATGTACTCCAGGTGGTAGATGATATTAGCGCTGAGGTACAAGCTCACTGATAGCATATGTAGCATTCCGGCCCAAGAACCATACAACCCAGTAAGTGGAGGGACCAAGCACGAGAATATAACAACACCGCAGGCGATGGCCCGGAGATAATCCGTCTTGTCCATAATATCGAAATGATGAATTGGGTTTTGTAGCAGGTACAAATCCCCGGCCTGGACAACCATCGTCACCAATTCGATCAAAACAGCTGCCATTTTTTTTTGGTATTCAGTAACGTTTGAGTGTATTTTAGATACTTTGATTGTATACACACACTCTTGTTGTTATTGTATTAGATGTACTGTTGTGATAATCCAATTTAGGGGTATTTAAATATGTAGCATGGGTTGCATACAAAATGCAATACATACGTATATTTTTAAAGCAGCATAAAAAAGGAGATTAAACTGCAACTAAATTGAGAAGAATTTTTGACCACTCACCCAGAGACCTGAGTTGAAATCCCGAAGATATTATTGTAAAAACGTTTACATATATATCAAAACGTTTATTTTTAAATCTTTTTTTATAAAGATAAACGAGCTGAGGTTATTTTATTAGCCTCTAGTTCGAGGCCGGGAGGCGGGAACTGGGAAGTCAGGCACCAGTTCAGCTCTCTCTCTGGAGAAAGAAATACGCACTACACGCTCACGGCGCCAAGCGGCCAACAAGGCGGCTCACCGACTTTTGTTTGATGTGACTCTATTTATTTATAGAAGAAGTCAATAAGCCAGAAGGCTAAAATATTTATGTCGCACCTAATCGGCTAACCCTGTGCCTAATCGTTGTAAAGTCAGTTTTGAATTTGATTGATTTTAAAAAAAAACAAAAAAAACAAACGACACTTATATTTAGTTTGCGACATGGAATGGGATAAAATTGATTCGCCGATCGCATCGGATAAGGCGATTTACCACATACTGATATGGGTGTGGAACAAGTATATATGCCAACAGTGAAAACCATAATTACATTGAGTATGTAAATATATGCTTTGTATAGTGTGCTAGAGCGTCATATGTGCGTGTCCATATTGTGCGCAAACTAAACGACTAACAACGCCCCATACACAAGTAACTCTGAAGTTGCCAGAGCAAACTCGATGGCAATGTCAATTGTGCTTAAATTAAAGAATGGGGACAATACACGAAGATGGGAGGCAGCCCAGCAGTTCACGTGGTGTCAATTATCAGATAAGGTACGTATCATGAGCGCACCTACAGGAACGTTCTTAGAACTTATTAAGATTATAGTTCATTTAGTGCGTGAGCTGCGTATAGTGCTATTTAGGGAAATATACCAGATTGATGACTAGAACAAGATGGGTGGCCAACGCAATTGACAGTGGTCCTTGAGACTAAAAAAATGATAGAATATCTTCTTCACTGTGATCAACTTGAATTCACATTCGTGTGTAATATATATATATATATATATATATATATATATATATATACTAGTACTAGTAGTAAGTACGTACTACTATATAGTCCTTACGTCTTTGTCT